ATATATATATTGCATATTTTTATTAGTTTTATCCCTTGTCACATAACCACACACTACTTTGTTTAGGGTTTCACCTTCTAAAGGTTGCAATACAAAGCCTCAATTGGTATTAAAGTTAGTATCAAATATGTTCTTGAAGGTCCTACTTAACTTTAAATTAAATTTTTTTATTTTTCAATTCCATAAAAATATGACTAATTTTGGTACGTGAGTTACGAATATGTGTCTGTGGGGGCAAGAGGAAATGTCCAATCATCGAGTCATCATCTCATATGCTTAAATGAAAGAGTTAAAAAAAAACTATCTGTAGATGTAGTTAAGAAATTAAGCATTCAGAAGATGTAATTGCATCTTATTATCGAAGACAATGGCTCTTAAACTCCTTTCAATATTACTTGTCAAGCTTTCTTAACGACCTACATTTTTTTTTGTTGTCATAATGCATTTATAGCTATTCCCATTTCGCTGTAAGATTTTGTCCATTTCGTCCGTTAAGTGTTCTCTTAACTATTACCAACATTTGAGAGAATATATATAAATAAATAAATAAATAAATAAATAAATACACACACACACACACACACACACACACATTAGATTTGTAATATTAAACGATATAGGGAGACATGACACACACACACACACACACACATTAGATTTGTAATATTAAACGATATAGGGAGAAATGACACACTATGATATAGGGAGAAATGACACACGATATAGGGAGAAATGACACACTATGAAAGTGGGGCCTAATGCGAAATGTACTCGGAATAAAATTTATTAAAAAAGAAAAAAACAGGCTTTTATAAAAAAAAATAAATATTTATTGAGAAATTTACATAAATATCAATTTTTTATGAAATTATATGCCTACTAATTAAAATGTGATGTTTATATTTAATAAATTTTAGTGTTTTTATGTTTATTTTTTAAAAAAAGATTATAATATTAACAATGTTTTTAATGTGATGTTAATGTATGTAATTCTAAAAATTTAAATGGTATATTTATAAAAAGAGAAATTTTTGGGGGGCATTCAATATTTATATGTTTAATATCTCAATTTTATTTTCTTATATTTATATCATCCAAATATTTTTTCTTGGTGCATTTATATTATATCACCCAATTTTTATTTATTTATATATCAAGCCCTTAAACTTTTTCCCTATTTTTATATCACAAAAAGCATATTACTATTTAAATTTTTAAAAAGTGGAATTATACTTTTCATGTCTAGATAAAGATTATATGTAAATATTTAAAAATTAAGTGGTATTTAAGTAAATTTTTCTATTTTATTTATTTATTTATAAGAGTGGATGGGATGGATAAATGGGAGACAAAGGTCTCGACACGGAGCTCCAGATTTTAACTTCAGCTCTGAATAGCAGGATCAGAAGGAAGGACGAATCAACGATGGTGGCGGTGGAGAGAGATTGCCGATAGTGGAAAGCGGGAGAGAGAAAGAGGGAGAGAGAGGGATTGTTCGAATAGAAGATATTGTTGGCCTTCAACCCGTACTCATCTTCTTGCTTGTCTGCTCGGGTTTGTTGATAGATACTGGCTGCGGATTACGAAGCTGTTAAAGATATTATTCTAGCTAATCTTTGGTGTTTCATCGACTTTTCGGAATCTGTTCATTTGTTTCGATTGATCTTGTTCTAGAACGTTTAGAGGGCTTTCAACGCTGGTAGATTCAAGCGTTTTGGTGTAACCGGGAGATCTAGTTAGTACAGCTTAAGGTTGAAGGCTGCTGCTTCTTGTTTTCTTGGATTTGTTTTCGTGTTCTTTTATTTCTATTTGTTGTATTTCTCTTTTTAGGGTATTTGTTTTTGGCTCGTTTGTTTGTCAGTTCTTACGTTTGATCTTTATGGCTTGTAAGATCCCCTTTTAGGGCTTGAGGCGGTGATGGGTTTGGCGGTGCTTATTCTTGACATAGGTTTCGATTCTCTGAGATTTTTTCTCTTTGCTTGTGATTTTCTTGGATCCGTAAATTTGATGCTTGTATGTGTTTTGGGGAGCTGCTTATTACTGCTGAGCGATCGCAGTTTTCTTCCCTGATGCGTAGTCGTTTCGGATTTACTCATCTAATCTGCACACTGAAAAACCCCATCTATGTTTTTTCAGGTCGGTCCAGTAGCTTATTTGGAGCAAAGGAAGGGAGATTATTAGGATTGGATACTTAAATCAGAGTTTATTTTGTGACCGGTGTCCGTAGGGATGCTGGAAGAGTGGTTAATTTCGAGGGCCTTACCAAGATCCCGTGGGCAAGAATCCAAGTTAACTTATATGACCCACCATCTTTTGGAGGGTGCCAGCAACAGAAGTTCTATTGGTGTTTTATCTGGAGATTCTTTTGAGGTTGTTAACACAAATAAAAATTTGGAGATTCTTTTATTTAGATGTTTTATCTGGAGATTCTTTTGAGGTTGTTAACACAGATTGGGGAAGGCGGATTAAGCATCCAAATTTTCTGATTCATCCACAGTTAATCCCGATTGTTGTGATTCAAATAACCTCATCAGCCCTATTGGACGAGATAATTCAATCAGCTGCTTGATGAGGTGCTCTCGCTCCATTTCCCATTTTGATTAAGCATGAATGCTTATTAAGGCCAAAATGTCCAAAATTACATGATTATGGTGCCCTCGCCTCTCTCAACAGCGGCTTTCGCTCCCTCATCAGAAGTGGAGAACTGTACCGGCTTCGTAGAATGAATTCAATCACAGAGCATTGGATATACTTCTCTTGTAACGTGAATGAGTGGGAATCCTACGATCCTTATTGTGCCCGGTGGATCAGTTTGCCCAGGATGACCCATAACGAATGCTTTATGTGCTCCGACAAAGAGTCCCTTGCTGTCGGTCCCGAGCTTCTTGTATTTGGGAAGGAAGAAATCTCCCACATTGTGCGGAGATATACCATCCTCACAAACTCTTGGTCGCATGGTGTTACAATGAACTCACCTCGTTGCTTATTTGGCTCTGCAAGCGTTGGAGAGAAGGCCATTGTTGCAGGTGGAAGTGACGCCAATGGCACTATTCTGAGCTCTGCGGAGCTTTACAATTCCGAGACACAAACTTGGACAACTCTGCCAAGCATGAACAGGCCTCGGAAGATGTGCTCCGGTGTATTTATGGATAAAAAGTTCTATGTGATTGGAGGAATGGCTAGCAACACCGAATTGCTTACTTGTGGAGAAGAGTTTGATCCTGATAAAGGCACATGGACTCTTATTCCTGATATGTCCTTAGGTCTGAACGGAGCTCGGGGAGCACCGCCGCTTGTCGCCGTGGTTAATAACGAGCTTTATGCCGCACATTACGCACTCCAAGAACTGAGGAAGTACGATAAGCAAAACAACATTTGGATCACTTTGGGAAGATTGCCTGAAAGGCCGGTGTCGATGAATGGGTGGGGGCTTGCTTTCAGGGCGTGTGGGGAACGACTTGTAGTCATAGGTGGTCCAAGGACATTGGGCGGAGGGGTGATTGAGCTCCACTCATGGATTCCTAAAGAGGGGCAGCCGCCAGTGTGGAGTATGATTGCTACAAAGCAGTCAGGGAGCTTTGTTTATAATTGTGCTGTAATGGGCTGCTGAGTCTTTTTTTTTTAATGCAAAGTACACATCTTTTCAATGGAGCGGAAAGCTGGTATATACAGAGGGCATCAAATACTGATTTTTGCAGTTTGGTGATCGTTGGCTATTTTGAATTCCAGATTGGACGTGTGTAACTTCTGAACTTCTTTGATTACTTTTGGAGTTTTTTTTTTTATCATTCCTGTCATTGAAGGGGTGCTTAAAGAAACTAATTTTCTACCCTTTTTCTATTAGAGTGGGGGTTTTGGAGGGCTTGGGATCCTCTAGTGCAGTGACAGATCAATAATACAATGTGGTTGATCCTTTCTTTGACATTTGCATTTTTCCTGTATTCTTCTTTTTCACAAAAAAAAAAAAAAAAAAAAAAAAAGAGAAGCCATTTCTATTGCTCTGCATCTTTTGGAAAAATTAAAGATGAGAGTCGATATATCTTGTATATTACATTGGTTGAGTAACTTTGGTGTGCATATGACTCTTGTACTTCTTTTTATTTATATTTATTTGATGTGTCTGGAGCCCACGGTAAAAAAATTGAACCATGAAAATGACTATATATGAAACCCTAATACGCCTTTTTATATAAACATATGGCTAATATAGCGACATTTTGAATCCAAACTTGCTATTTTACTGATTGGTCTGTATTAGTATGCTAATATGAGTTATATTCAAGTCATTAAAGATATGTATATTAGAGTTGTTACTTGTGTTCGAACATAAGGACGAATAATTCAATATTTCCCTATTTTAGTTAGATTACATGAGGGATGGGCTTTAAGCCCATGTCTTTTTGCTTTAGTTATGGACGCTCTTACTGGAGATTTATTGTAGTATGTAAATTAGTGTATGCTTTTTGTTGATGATATCCTTCTTGTAGATAAGACTGGAGAAAGAGTTCAGGAAAAACTTGAATTATGGAGGTCTACATTAGAGTCTAAAGGTCTTCATTTGAGTAAATCTTAAACTGAATACATTGAATGTAATTTTGCTAGTAGTCTAGTGGCAGAGATGTAACTAGGGCGATCGAAATCATTAAAAGGTGTAAACATTTTACATATCTTGTATCTATTGTTCAAAGTGATGGTGATATAGATGAGGATGTTATTAGGAGAATTCAAGTTGGTTTCAAGTTAATTCAAGTTGGTTGGTTGAAGTGGAGGAATGCTTCAGGCCTATTGTGTGATGTAAATGTACCGCTTAGATTTAAAAGGAAAATTTTTTAAGATTGTGGTGAGACTTGCAATTGCGTAGAATATTGGTCATTAAAAGAGAACCATAAAACTAAGTTAAGTGTTGCGGAGATGAGAATGCTTAGGTGGATGAGTGGTTTGACACTAAATGATAAAATGTGAAATGAATGTATCCGAGAAAGGGTTGATGTAGCTCCAGTGCAGACAAGATTAGAAAGAGACATCTTAGATGGTTTGGTCACATTAAACGTTGACCATCTAATGATCCGGTTAAGAGAGTATTTTCTTAGATTTAACTTATGTTACGAAAGGTAGAGGTAGACTTAAAAAGACTAGTGCGTATTGTATAAAAAATGATCTTAATTTATTAGAATTAAATGAAAATTTGACACTATATAGGACACAACAGAGAAAAAAGGATTCATGTAGCCACCCTACTTAGTGGAATAAAAGCTTTTTGTTGTTCTTGTCGTCTGTATTAGTAGGCTATATTGTAAAGTTTATGTGTTCCAAATTCGCCAAGAGGGCTTCTTAACACAATTCATTGATTTACAGTGGTTCTTTGATTGACTTTATAAGTACAATTCGGTGGTGGTTTGTAAAATGCTTCTTTTTCTTAAGTCCACCAATATTAATATTTTCCCACCACTATGAGAGTAGAATCTTGTTCTTATTTTTTAAACAAGAAATTTGAAGGCTCATTAAATTGGTTATAAATCTTTTTTTTTTTTTTTTTTTTTTTTTTTTTCCTGTCCATGCTAGAGCTAATAGCATCAATTTTGCCATACAAGCTTTCTTACAAATCTCTACCATATGTATAGTTCAGGTGTGAGATGTCTAAATACATAAGAATTGTGTGCTGCGTATGTAATTTTCCCTATGTAGGCATATATGTTTTTGTTAATGTCATGTTATGTGAGCCTCTAAAAACAGCTTTCCTCACTTGCAACTTCTCTTCTTTTTGATATATTGAATTTCTTCCCTTCTCGTGTTTTTCCTCAGCCAAAGTTTTTCTTGTAAATTTTGCTTTTTTCTTAATAATGTTTGTAATTTATCCTTTTCCTTTCTTATGTTTCTTTATAGTAGTTTATATATGTAGTTTTGATCATCATAATTCAAGTGAAGTTTCCCAACCTATGTGTAAAGCATCTGTTTTCTTGATGCTTTTAGAGTGGTGTATGATAGGACCTCACCTTTAGGTTGAGTGCAGCATTGTCAGCTGGCTTGAATGTTTAGAAGTGGCCAAATTCAGAAGATTGCAGATACATTTTACATGCCACATCCCCTTTATTTGTCTCTTTTTCCTTTTCATTGAAATTTGTAGAAGTATAAATAATCATCTTTATTTCTTTTCATAGGGACAAAAAGTTATAAGATAAGCGGATTAGTGTGATAAAAGACTGCTTTATGCTTTCAAAAGCATGTTAACATTTCTCGTCCCAAGTCAACTTGACATTCTTTTTGGTCAACGCAGTAAAAGGATGACTCATACCGGAAAGATTAGATCTAAAACGTCTAAGATATGCCAATCTCCCTTGAAAGGATCGTAATTGCGTGAAGCTCTTAGGGGCTGGCATTTCTAAGATAGCTTGAGTCTTCTGGGGGTCATTTCAATCCCGCAGTGTCTAACGACAAATCCTCAAAATTTTCTGGAAGTAACACCAACTTGAAAGGATTCATTTGAAGATGAGACTGTCGTAACCGCTCAAAGACAATTCTGAAATCAAACAAGTGGTCTTTACTTTTCACGACTAAATCATTTTTTTTGTACTTTCACGACTAAATCATTCACATAGCACACCGATAAGAAAATATAAATTACAAGAATGGAATGACTTAGTTTTTTTTTGCACTTTTACGTTTGGTTTTTGCAAAATTGAATTTTTGTTTTTTGTGCGAAGGAGTCTTTTCACAATGATGATAGTGTAAATTTTTTTTTTGTTGCAGAGTTTGGGCGGCAAATGTCAATGAGAAAATGTTTGTAAATATAATTTTCCTATACATTTACATTCCCAGAATTTCCTTCAGCCTAACATTCCCAACATGTGATTGTTATTTTGCCCTTTTTGTGGGTCTCTGTGCTTTGAATGTGTAGTTGTTATTATGTCTAAATTATCAAATGTACTAATTATTTATGAAAGAAATGTATTTATTGTTTATTGTTATTAGTATTCTCTTTCTTTTATGTTTTTTTTAGAGGAAATTGGGAGACTTAAATCATATATTAATCATAAAAAAGTACCAAACAAAACTTGCTAGGAAAATTATCAATCCTAAAGTATGAAGATATGGACATGAAGATTGAAGATCTTTAGGACTTGGATATGATATGGAGCATCATGTCGTAAGATCAACGAACACGAAAAATTTGATGTACGTTCATTTAAATGCGTAGCATATTAGTTGGAAATAAATTGAAGAATCTCAAAGTGTAGGGTTCAAGCACTCGCTCTGCCCCTAAAAAATTTAACGCAGTTGCACTGAGCGAACAAAGAGGAGTAGGCATGGGGGCGGCGAAGTCAAAAAATTTAACGCCAAAACGTTGTCGTTGATTGGCAAGAGAAATGCTATTGTATGATATAAAAATTCATTCTCTAGAGGTGAAAAACCAGCTGGCTTGAGAAGAGAATATGTGCAGATTTAGAAGCATAGTTTTTAGAGAGAATGCAGAAGCAGCAAACAAATCCAGTAGGAAAAAATCAAACAAAACCCTAAAGCATAAGTTGTGAGCTATTACGGTAAAGCATTAAACAGTTGGGGTTCATCGAATGCTTCTCGCCATAGTGCTATGAAGTTCCTTACAAATCAGAATCAAAGGGGGGCTACATTTGAATGCTGCAGATATCATTAGTTGAGGGTAGGATGGAGGCAAAAAAATGTGTGATTCCATCCAGATGAATCTATGAGGAGATTGAGTTAGGCATTAGGTTGCATCTATTGGGAATTGAAAGTATTGGTATCAATAACCTCCCAACGACATTTATCATGAATCCAAGCATTTCAAAGAAGCATGATATTGGAGCCATCGCCAATAGAATAAGTGTTTAATATTATTTGGTGTAGCCATGAGCTTCTTCCAAGAGAAGTTGCCTTGTCATTTGAGGTTTCAAAATGAGATGCATATCCCACAAACTCATTATCGACCAAGGTTGATGAGTTTTGTTTGACCGTGAAACAATTATCCCACCATCCTTTGAGGATTACTGTAAATCCACATGTAATCTTTTTTGCTATTGAAGAGCTGAATTTCTTCTTGATTGTGTCGCACTGGCATATATAATCATTCGATGAATGGTTTCTTGTATTTGTGTTTATGTTTTCCCATCTATGTTCTACTTATCAATAATAAAATTGAATGAATTAGATGTACATATTAACTTATTTTATTTGATTGCAATAAAGCTTATTTATAATTTACATGTTATCTTATTTAGTTTTTATAAAATAATAAGATAATAATTTAAAATTTATCTATTTATTTTTTGCTTAGATTTATAACATTATTATTAATAACTTCATATGAAAGACTACCAAGCAAAAATGAGCCCTTAATTTTGATTAATAAATTTTTTTAATAAATATGATATTAATAAATAATGTTACGCCCATGATAGCTTGCCTTGCAACTCTTATTCTTAATTTTGATTAATAATTTTTTTAATAATAAGATATTTATTTTATATTAAATATTATCTAAGATTAAAAATGCTATAAAATATCTAAAAATATATATAAATATTTTTTAAAAAATATTTTAATTTATTTTTAAAAAAAAATAAATACATTGAAAAATATAAATTAAACATATTTTAAAAAAAATTATCCCAAATAATCTTGAATGTAATAATTAGGAAATAGAAATCCTCCCATTAAACTGCTCCCTGCTCCCACTTTCGATCCCTTTTGATAAGCAAAGGCAGATGAAGTGATAGCAATGGAGCTCGACGGCGTTGGGCGGCTGCCCCGCCCGTCGGATCTTTCGCCGCCGCTGCTTCATTTTCTCAACGATCAGTTTAAGACGTCGGATGATCTCTCTAGATTCCCCAACGTCGAGTTGGAGATCCGGAACCGGTGCTCCAATCTTGAGGCCGCTCTGTCCGATCTTAGCCGCCGGCTTTCAGAATGCCTTACAGTCTACGCAGCACAATCTAACGATGTCGGTGGTCTCTTTAGAGTTAGAGAGGCTCTGGTCGATCTACGGTCTCGCCTGGGGGTTTCTTCTGGAGGTTGTTCGTTTGCAAGCTGGAGAGATCGTCTTCTTTCTTTCTTTATCATTTTGCTGAATTTTAGGGATTTTTGATGCTGTAGAAGAAGAGGGAGGTGTGGAGATGCGGAGAGGCGAGCAGATATTGGGGGAGGAACTGCGGGCCCTCGCTAGAGAGGTGGCAAGGGTGGAGGCAGTCCGGGCTTATGCAGGTGAATTTGCTTCGGTTGAATAGTTAGTCTTTTTTTTTTTTATTTTTTTTATTATTCTTTTTTGCATTGTTCGGAAGTTGGGAGTGATAGGAAATCATGGGAAAATTTTTGGTTTTTTGATTGATTGGAAATTCGACAGCATATTTTTTTTGTAAGTTAGGTTATTGGAGATTCATTTTTTTGATTATTTGTTTTCCTTAAATCCATAGTTACCTTCAAAATGTGCAGGATTCATGATCACCGTGATGAAATAGTATTTTATCTTTGAGATATTACATTCTACATTTTTTTTCGTGGTTGTGCTGAAGTTAGCTATCCCTAGTTTCGGTTCCGTTTAGCACAACTTTATGATGCATGCTTCTATTTCCTTGACACCAGAAGCAGTTTTAGGTGGTGTTTGGTAGCCTATTAATATGAGGATTTAACAACAGATTTAGCTTAAATCCAGCCAAAAATAAAAAAACTGAATCTTAAATCCAACATTCCGTTAAACCTATTTTTCTCGCGTTCTGACTGATTTTCCCCGCGGTTTGTCTTCTTTATCACGCAAATCTCCGTGTCACAGGCAGATTGATGATGGGTAGCTTCAAAGCTTCCCTCCATCTAAATAGATTTGATAAATCTGGATTTACTAAATTCTATTTAAAGTAAATCTATGATACAGCCAAACACCGCCTTAGGATTTTTGGAAAAAATAAAAAAAATTGGAAAAGTTCAGTTATATGATAGCTAAAAAGAGTCTTTCTTATAGCCGTAGTTTAGGTTGCTTTGCATAAAATCATTTTTATGTGTTTTTGCTTTTTTATCTACTTAGGGGCTGTTTGGTTGCTTATAAAAGAAATGGAAAGAAATGGAATGCAGTGTTTTTTGAGTACTCAAGGATTGTTTGATCATGTATATTTGAAGTTTGATTGTCTTGAAGTAAATGCAAATGTATTTGTTTTCCTGTGTATTACTTATATATCATATATTTTAATTAAATTTACTTATTTAATATTTAAATACTCATTTGTTTATAAAATATAAGTAGATAAAAGTCCAAATATGATTGCCAAAGATAGAGAAACAGACACTAATAATTTTGCTAAGCGAGAGCTGTCTTCTATAACTACAAGGCCTTCTTGAGTGGGCACTTCCATTTTTTCCCATAGTTCTTCAGTGACCCAAAATTCACATAGTAAATCAATCAATCGGTTCAACGCTAATAAATCTCATATGAACGTCTCGTCGAAAACATCTAACAAGAATCAAAGGCAAGTGGTAGCAGAATCAAAGCCTTCTCTCCTAGCACCGTAGGAATCATAAACTTTAGCTTTGTGACATGATGCAACAAGCAAATTTCACCCATAAAGCATTGAAATACAACATAATCATGATCATAAAACAACAGTACTATTTTGCTCTTTTCATACATGAGTGAGAATCTCATAAACTCATAAATCATTCAGAATGCATTCTACTTGAGCCTATAAAAAATCACTTCTAATTCATTAAAAGAAAAAAAAAAAAATCAGAAAATGCAATTCCTTCCTAAGGTCCATGAAACTATTGCTAACACAAGCAACTCCTCTCAGGAAATCAATTATATTCAAATTTCTGGCACTGAAAATTTTGGCATAATCTTATACATTTTCATTCCTACTTAACCAAAACAAGAAAACAAAAGAAATCCAAACCATTAGAAGCAAGATGCTGATCTATACCATTAGAGGCATAAAAAAAATTTTAGTAGTAAGGAAGAATCCTCCACGTCTAATTGTTCCCTTAAGCCACTTTCAAAGCACTGTTGTGGTCACCCAATGGAAAAACCAAAACCAGAGTCACTTGAGAAGCAAGGCCAGACAAAAATTTCATCACAAACAAATCCAGAAGGTTGTTATGCATTCTTCGGTTCAACAAATGACAGAGTAAGAAGCTTGTTACTTAAAGATGATGTGCAAATAGAGTGAAGGAGGTGGTAGGCATTCAAAATTATGACTATTGCCCGAGCTTCATTGTTTACTGAGGGCAGCGACAGACAGAAACAATCGGCGGCTGTGTTTGAATCCATATGCTGTGAAGTTGCGAATCATTCTGCGGCTCCATAGGTGGAGTTCTAACTAGGTCAACTAGGTTTGGATCAGGCGATGCTAAATTGTGTTTCCATGGCTCCACAAGTGCGGCTGCAGCTTTTCTCATCTCTAAAGTAATGAGCTCGGAGAGTTCATGTAAGATGGAAGGAGAATGCATGAGAGGTTGTGCTCGTTGTTTTCCATGTATTCCTTTCTCGCTCCATTTCAAATGAGTTTGGAATGCAATAAAAATACACTAGTCAGCGTATTAAAAATAATCTAAAATTTTACATTGATTTTGTTTTACACTCTAACCAAACACCTAAAATTTATAATACCTGCATTTAAAATGCTTTACACCCTAATTTCTTCAAAATAAACAGCTTTTAGTCATTTATTTATTTAATTATTTAGTAGTTTGATAGAAAAATCTAAAACCTAGATAGATGGTTGGATTTTGGAGACTTATTTTGCTAGTATAATTATAGAGTTGTGAATTTACTTGCATAGTTATATTTATTATCCAAATCTAATGGTTATATGAGACTTATGTGCAAAGGTGAATAAAATTTTGAAGATCACAGTGGGTAGTTATCAATCATTAAGAAACATGTCATGAATGCATGCGATGTTTGTTTTGCATTTGAGATTTGTGTAGCATATGTCAATGATCAATTTATAAGTTACCCTACGCTTATGCCCTCTTACATATTTATATGATAAGAGATGAGGTGGAGAATAGTGCGGGAGATAAAGTAAAGGGAGTGAAGGAGAACTAATGAGTGAAAAATGATTTGCTTTAGGGCCACCAACATTCCCCCCCCCCCAGCCTCTTATATCTTATTGCGTAACCTAGATACAGTCCGGCAAATTTGGTTTAATGTTTGTATTTTCATTTGAAGTTTGTTTCAGTTGACTAAGCAATTTTAAGGAATCCATTAGTAATGAATCTAAATCTGGTTTTCAGAAAAGCAGAAGGCTTATCTATATATATTATATATATATATGATTATAGTGACAGAAGCTTTGGAATTTTAATACAGTATATCGAAGGAATTACACACTCTAAGATTTAATAAATAGGAGATCTAGATTTATAAGAATGCAACAATTTTTTAGAAATACTTCTTATAGAATGAGGGTTGACTTGGGTGAAGGAAGGTAAATTTCCATGTTAGATGCTGGTCAGACAATCAATATAGGAAACATTAGAAAGTGTAGGAAAATAAGGAATATTTTCAACAGTGTTGCCATTCAGGGACCATACAAGGAATTTAATAATGATGAATTATATCAACCTTGCAGTTAGAATCTATATTGAGCCCCAAATTTGAACTGTAACACATCCGATTCAACAATAACAACTCCCAAGTAAAGGCAGATTCTTCATGCTAGATACGTGTTTTGAGAATAATCTCTTCTAAGGAAATGTTATGAGTAGGGGTATCATTCAATTTTGAAAGGGTTATTTGCATATGGACTGACCGCCTGAATCGGAAGCTTCTCTGGGAACTTCATCTTCTTCAACAATAGAATCTGAGAAACTACCTTATGACCACTCTTTGGTGATATAGCGGAAGAAAAATGATGATGAAAGGACGTGCTTTCTTTTTATTAGTGGAGGCTGTATATGAAAAATCATTAGAATGTATGGAGAGCTAATTTTGAATAAAGCTTTTGTTCTCATCCACCTTTTGACCATAGTAGTAAAACCATTGTGTTCGATACTACTTTGTATGGCTTTGAATTTAATAAAGAAATGTGTTTGGTTTAATAAAGATAATGTAGTGAAATCAATCTTTATTCCAATGCCAAATGACAGCTTCAGAAAGATTCTTTTTTTAATCTTATTGTAAAAACATAAAAGAATCTATAAGTTTGAAGAAAAATCTAGTCTATATGTTGTTTGGAGAGAAGACATTTGAATAGAAGCAACTTTTTATTTTTTTTGGATATAGGTCATGATTTTGATAAGTTCCTGATAACAGAGTTAACCCAAATAATAATAGGAAAATCAAATATTATTGTTAACTTCAACTAAGCGACTTACATTCACACAAACAGAAATAGAAATAATAACAAACATGACACTAACTCCAACTAGGATTGGATCAAAGAGGTGGTGGTGGTGGTCGTTAATGCCTTGGAAAGGTGGTGATAAGGTTGGGAGGTGGAGCAGAGGGGCAGATACAACAGGGAGACTGCAGGTGCTTGCTGCCCTTGGTGGCAGCAAGTTGGTAGGATGGTCGGGCGGCGGTAAAACAACAAGGCGAGGTGGTTTCTGGTTGCAGTAGTGGTACCGAGCAGCTTGGCAGCGGCCAAAACAGCAAAACAAGGGATCTCTAGGTGGCAGCAGCAGTAGTGGATGGCTGGATGGCGGTCAAAACAGCAAAGCGAGGGATTTCTGGGTGGCAGCAGCGGTACTGGATGGCTGGACAGCTGCCAAATCAGCGAGGCAAGGAATGGAACAGTGTTGGCAGTGAATGTGGAGGGCTCGAACTGCGATTGCAGCGAAGAGGAGGAAGGGAAAATCGATGGCGGGGGCAGGAACTGCAGAAAACAGAAACTGGAAGGCTGCAACAGGTATGGTGACAACAGTAATGGAGGGAAAGATGTGGAGGATGGAAAGGTCGAAGATATATGTCGGCATTAAAAAAAAAGGTTGGGGGGGTTGCCCGTAGGAAGCTGTCGGTCACCGGAATCGAAATCCCGTCGTCCGCTTCGGAAGGACGTTTAATTTACATATAGATTTAAGTTTAGAAAAATATGAAAATCAAACTGACCCCATATTTTTCATAATTTAAATGAAAGAGCGCTTTACCTCAAATCCTGTATCTATCCCGAATGATAAACATAAGACTTGAGGGTGAAACTCTATCAAATAAACTAAGAAAGATATGCCATCCTTTTGGTCGGCGAAATCGTTTTGTTTGTCGACAAATTTCCCTA